CCCCCCCCCCCCCCCCCGGATCTGCAGGTTGGGGAATTCTGAGCTAGTAGATCTATGTAAGATTGCAGCTGTACAGGTATGTCTTAAAAGTTACTTTATTTTTCAGTGCCTAAAAATATAATTCTAAATATTACTGAAATGGATTAAAATTCATTACACTTGACTGAGGCAAGGCCTCTAAGTTTAGGACTGTAAATATGCTTAAATCATTTTACCTTTAAGAAGTAAAGGCATGAAAGGGATCTTTGGGGACTTCATTTTCTTGAATGCATCCCTATAGGCTTTGTGATTCAGAGAAGGATCCTGTTAAAATAATTTGACTCTATTAGGAACTGCAGTTTATATTGATAGAAGCTTCCTTTAAATACAACATATGTAGATACAAAAGTATTTTTTTCTTGAAAAATAAGACAGAAAAGGTTTCTTAAAGAGAATTAGATGAAGTAATATATATTTTTGTCTAGAACATATGACATTTGTGTAAAGGTAAATGCAATACATCCAAAGTTAGATAATAATAGTAATAACAATAGCATTTAGACATACAATAATAGTTCCATTTATCAACAAAAATACATATATAGGGAAATTAAAGACTGTTTTACATAAATTCTACTTACTGTCAAACTTTCAAGTTCAGCAAAGAGCTTCTTAAACTTTCCAGGCATTCTCTGCAATAAAATACTGCATATTAAAAAACTGGAACTGGAATTAAATACTAGATTCTATCAGTGACTCATTTGTAGTATATTAAAGAAATAAACTTTCTCTGACAGTATCTTTCTTAGTTTTTTTAACAAATAATGTTTGAGAATGACATAAAAATGTGTTACAACCCACATTTATTATTTAATGCTGTTTATAAGCATCTGGATTTGGATTCATTTAATAATATATTTGTTAAGATTTATGTAGAGGGAGGAGGAGAAAGGTCATCATCAACCACATTATGACTTTTGTTGAAGAGAGAATGCTATGGTTATTTATTTTATCACAGTAGCCTTACTGGAATATTGAAGGGAAAAATCACTGATGTTATATTTATATAAAAAGATTCATCAAATGCAATTTTTCTCAATCAAAAAAAAATATGAGGGTGAAAATACAAAAAAACTGAAATATGCAGCAGAAATATTAGGTTGGCACTCACATAGTCATTATGCAAGAAAATTGTCCTCTTCAGCAAACTGAGTTAAATTAAACTTTTTGAACTTATACTAGTTATACCAAATTTTATAATAGTAATACTGTACAAAATTAACTAACAATATATATATTGTAACTAAGTTTTTATCATGTAACTTTCCAGGAATCAACTTTTGTTAAATGTATAGAATTTTCCTTGGTAGTTCCATGTCATGCAACTCATACTAAAAGAAAAACAATTTAAAGACATTATCCAAAACAGTTTATAAATTTTGTTTTGGATTTATTTCTCTAAAATAAGGTTCTTAAATCTGTTCTTTCAATATCAGTAACAATTATGAGAAAGTAAAGAATGCATGCCTGTACTAAAGTGCGACTTTTTCTTTTCATATATACCAAACTGCTGAAAAAATATGATTAAAAATCATTATCTAGAAAAAAAAATAAAACAATAAAGTTCTCATATTACCTCCCAGGTCTGAGAAAGCCGGCTGATAGAGGCAGTGTTGAGCCCCATGACAATGGCAAAAAATGAATTCAGATTTCGCTGGGCTTTGCAACTATGAAAAAATATCAGAAAAGTAATTTCCTTGTGGTATTCAAAGTCACTTAACACTCTGTTGTTTAAAATAGAGTGCTGACTTTATAACTTCATGACTCTAAACTTTGTGAACTTGAGGGATTCATTTATTTATTTATTTTAAAAAAGAAAATACTGCCCCATTCTTTGGAAATCACACCATAATTTTGATAATTCCAAATACTATTTTAAAATGCAAATTGAAAGTTCAAATTTATGGAGATTCACAATAGAAAGAACAGTTTTGTTTTCTCTCAACTGCCAGTCATAAATGTGCAATTTCTTCTTAGAGGTATACATAGATTATACACAAACACACATTCCGTACCTCACACGCACAGGTCCTGGCAAATTAATATTCTTTACTGCACAAATTGGATTTTTCTAAATTAAATATTTCTCCACTGTTGTTTGCACAAAGCTTTCCAATGTTAAGAATATTGTTCATGTTTTCTACAGCCTTCAATATACAGTATTTTATAGCTTCTTATTGAAAATTTAGTTAGTGTGCAACCAATATTTTCTAGTAAATTATTATATATTATTGATTAAAATCACATTATGATCAGAAAAGTACTTTTCTGTTACAGGTAGTCCTTGACTTGCGACCACAATTGAGTCCAAAATTTCTGTTGCTAAGCGAGACAGTTGTTAACTGAATTTTGCCCCAATTGACCATCTTTCTTGTCACAGTTGTTAAGTGAATCACTACAGTGTTAAGTTAGTCACATGCTTGTTAAGTGATCTGGCTTACCCATTGACTTTGCTAGTCAGAGGATCACAAGGATTCACATAATCCTGTGAAACTGCAACTGTCATAAATATGAGCCAGTTGCCAAGCATCCGAATTTTGATTGCATGACCATGGGGATGCTGTAACTGGGGTAAGACTCAAATATGTTCCTTACCTCAAGGAAGGTAGGCACTTGCAGCGTTTGGGAAAGAGAGAAGAATACATCCCTTTTCTCAATCCAGAAAGAAAGGGTGGAAAAGCCAAGGAATGTGCACTCAAAAGTTGAATTTTGATCAGAGTGCAAACTTCTCCAACCTACTGCATCTTAGCCTACAAAGCCAGCCCAATTCCTAATACTAGATAATGCTGGTCATGTTTCGCTACCATTGAGTTGTGGAGAGCAGCATACAAAGCCCCTGGTTAAGAATTTTTGAAACACTGCAGAGGGAATACCAGCAGAAAGTCATTCGATTTTGCCTGTGTAGGAATCCCCCTCCTGAAGAGTCTGGCCTATGCTTCAGAAAAGCTCTTTGTGCAGAAGGAGCCCTTTAAATCCGGATTCCCCATGAAGTGAAAGGAAGCAGCTTGGCTCCTCGTAAAAGTGAAGTCACTGCTTGCCCTGAGAGCAGGAACTCTTTCATTTTGGCCAGTGGGATTTTGGGAAGTTGCAACAAGAGAAGCCACTAAAACTTGGAGTGTCTCTTTTCCCTCCTTCATCCTGACAATGAAGTGCGCAGACTTCATTGGTCATAAGAGAGAATCACTGCAGGAGTGCTGCAACAGTCATTACTTTGGGATTGCAATTACTTTTGGGGGTGTTGTAACTTTGAACCATCGATAAGTGACCTGTCGTAACTCAAGGACTACCTATACTAGAAATATTTGCTCAAAAAATATAAATAAGGACATAATATGCAAGTATCAGTTGCACATGACACAACATTATGAATGTTATGTCAGCTTACCTTCAAGTTAGTAAAGCAACTAAAATTTTAAACTAACTCATTCCTAAATTCTTATTCCAAGTATGAATTAGTTTTATAATTGTTATATATTCTGCCATGCATAATATCTCCAGGACACAGCATAAATGTATTATGTACAACCCTAATCTATGGAAAATACTTATAGAGCAACTTTTCTCTGGCTAGGCAGTATATTGTTTCAACAGAAGGTATTTTTACTGAGTAAAGATAGCAGTATTTTGATAACTATTAGAAATTATAATTATACTTGCATTGTTATTTTTAAAAACAAAGAATTTAAAAAGATCTTAAAAACTTTTTGAATATAATATGATTTTCCACTAAGGTATAGTTCATTGAAAATGTATATTAAGTTTTTAACACCTATTTTTTGAATAGAATTTACAAATATATAAAACAAGTGTCCTGAACGCTCAGACCATGAATCAGTACCAGCCCAGGCCACGATTGGGAACCGGGCTACACAGTGGGGAAACATTCGAAGCTTGATTTGCGCATCTGCAGGATCTAGGTTGCACGCAAAACCATCCTCTCCCTTCGCCACCGCTGCTAGTCGATGGGGCTAGAAAAGTTGGGGACTGCTGATATACAAAAACTATTGATGTTCAATTCATTATGTTTAGTTTTACATTTTCTCAAATTTGAATAATAATACAGACAACCTTTTAAAATTCTTAGATAATTTTTATGTCTGTATACTGCACATTATAAAACCAGACTTGGAAATGCGAAAACTCAAAATCAACTCTACATTAAATAATCAAATTTGAGAAATATGCAAAATGACTTTGTTTCAGGTCATAATGTTAATATTCATATGAACAGTGTCTTCATGTTTTGTAAGCACATTGCTGAGAAATTTATTTTGTATAATTGGCAGGATTTAAGTACAGTGAATATAAAAAAATTATACTCCCCAGTTAAAATGCCAGGTTCTGAGATGTTAAAAAAAAAATCAGACCAGAATTTCTAACGCTTCCAAAATTCAATAAAAAACACATTGAAATCTTTTAAGGGAAAAATAAGAATAAAAAACTTACAATAATGTGTTTGCATAAGTGTACTCCCATAAGTAGAGATGTGGCTGTGTTCAGAATTAACCAATTACATTCAAATGGATGCTAAATAGTAGTCAGTATATATTTGTCACCAATTAAAATGATTCTGATCAAGCCCATATAAAGTTTATCTGTTTTAGTAGGATTTTTTTGATATTTACTCAGTTGACTCATACAGCAAAAGCCATGGTCTGCAGAGAGCTTACAAAGGATCAAAGGGAAGATATCAGTCAGAACAAAAAATATCCAAGGGAATCCATGGAACACAGTGAAGACAATCATCAACAAGTGGAAAAAATATGGCACAACAGTGACATTACCAAGAATTGGATGTCCCTCCAAAATAGATGAAAGAACAAGAAGAAAACTGGTCCAAGAGGCTACCAAGGGGACAACAGCATCATTAAAGGAGTTGCAGGAATCTTTGGCAAGTACTGGTTGTGTACAATATGTGACAACAATCTCCTATACTCTTCGTATGCCTGGACGGTAGGGTAGGGTGACTAAGATGGAAGCTTTTTTTTACAACGAAAAACATCCAAGTTTGGCTAGATTTTGCAAAAACATATATCAAGTCTGACAAAAGCATATGGAAAATGTGTTATGGTCTGATAAGATCAAGGTTGAACTTTTTAAGCATAATTCCAAAAAGTATGTCTGGCACAAAAATAACACTGTGCATCACCAAAAGTACACCATACATACCCACAGGGACGCATGGTGGTGGCAGTGTTATGTTTCGGGGCTGCTTTTTTTCAGCTAGAACTGGGAGTTAGTCAAGATGGAGGGAATTAAGAACAGTTCCAAATTTCAGTCAATTTTGGCACAAAACCTTCAGGCCTCTCCTGCTGAAGATGTGCTGAAGATGTAGAAGAATTTCTCCTTTCAACATGATAATAACCCAAATAAACAAAAGAATGGCTTCACCAGAAGAAGATCAAAGTTTAAGAAGGGCCTAGCCAAAGCCTAGACCTGAATCCAATTAAAAATCTCTGAGGTGGCCTATAGAGGCCTGTGCACAGGAGATGCCCTCACAATCTGATAGAGTTGGAACACTTTTGCAAGGAAGAGCGGGCAAAGGTTCCTAAGAAAAGATGTGCCATGTGCCTGATAGGCTCCTGCCCCAAAAGACTGGATGCTATTCATAAAATCAAAAGGTTCTTCAGTAAAGTATTAGTTTAAGGCTGCGTACACTTATGCCACCATGTTACTGTAAGTTTGTTGTTGTTACTTTTCCTCCTAAAAGATTTTGATTTCTTTTTAAATTGAATTGTGTAACTTATGTTAACAATGGAAAAATTATGAAGTGATTTATCTTGATCTGATTTTTTTACATCATAAAAACCTGGCATTTTAACAGGGGTATATAGATTTTTTTTATATATCCACTGTATACAACTGAAATAGGCCATGAAAAAAGTAAAGGAAATGAATGAAATGAAACTAATATACTTTAATAATAGTTGGTAGTTCAGTAGGATTTTGCTTAGCATCACTAGAGAAGCATCATCAAAAAGAGAAGCAATTGGAGAAATTAATCATGTATATATATGTATATATACTAATTATCAGTTTGCAGCAAATTTTGGCACATAATTCTTTAATCACACATAGCTTTTTCTAGGCATATTTCAATGGGCAAAGTCAAATATATAGAATTTTTCTTTCATTACTCCTTGTTAAGCAGATTCAACAGGAACCAGCTATCAATATTTATTTAATATTTAACTTACTGAGCAGCAATTTTAATGAACTTTTTCACTAGTTGTACACGTTTACAGAGCTGGCTGCAGAGGAGTATTTCTGTGGCAACCCAAAGTTGAACTTCATTGCATCTTTGAAGCAGAAGACTAAGATTCACAGTGTTTTTCCCACTTCCTTGTCGGCTGAAGGTGAAATATATCAGTTCTTGCTGGAAGACAATTTAAAAGAACGTAAGATGCAAATTAGAATTTAATTTAATTTAATAATCTGACAAATGTAATTATTGTTGCTTGGTCAGATAACCCATATTAGTAACTTGAACAAATCTACAGTGATTCAGAAAAGTAATTTGGCAAGTACTCTTTTAATCAAATCTATAAAAAATTAATAATCAGATTGTTTGTGACTTAATATCTATTAGTCATTGCTGATTTCAGTTTGAAAAGCTTTTGAGAACTAGGTGAAATCTATTTTTCTTTTTTGTCAAAGAAGTAATAGAAAGGTTCCCAACCCCGAGGCTGTGGCCTACTACCGGGCCTTGAGTCTTTCAGAAAGAGGCTGTGGAAATGACGGGCGAGCGCGTGCACATCCCCACTCACGTGAGCAGGGGGCAAGTGTGTGCACTCCATTTGCGTGAGTGGCAGCCTCACATGCCCATTTGTGCAAATGGAGTTGTGCGCACTTGCCCACTTGCCCACAACGCACACGGAATCATCCCCTCTCCTGCCCCTCTCCTGCAAAGCCGAAAACATTGGGGAACTCTGATGTAATACATACAGCTACATTTGGCAATAAGCCTGTGGAATGACCCAAAATAATTACAAAGAAATAATTTCATGAGAAAACTTGTTGTAATTAATCAAAGCTAAACAAAGCACTGATTATAGTTAGCGTGCAAATTCATCATCTTACTTCATGAACCAAATTGAAAAGATTCCAGTCAAAAACTGTTAATTCTAAAGCAAGGTTCCAGGTATTAATCCCCAGAATTTTCACTGATCGTTGGTGGATTTCCTCATTTTCAGCAAAAGGGATCTAAATCAAGAAACACACATTTTAAAAAAGCAGATATAATTCAAAGATAGCTCCAAAGAAATGTTTTAAATGTATTTGCAATGAAATCATTATGGCCTCTAATTAATTTTAATATTAAGAGCAACAGCATATGTCTTATTACATTAGGAATGCCATGAAGATAAACATCTAAAGTAGAATACAATAACAAAGTTGGAAGAAACCTTGGAGGTCTTTTAGTCCAACCCCCTATGCCATTTCAGACAAATGGTTGTTTAATCTCTTCTTTAAAACTTTCACTGTTGGAAGTGGAGGCACAACTTCTGGAGGCAAGTTGTTCCATTGATCAACATCATTTTTACATTGTGGCGACCAAAACTGGATGCAGTATTCCAAGTGTGGCCTTACCAAGGCATTACAAAGTGATATTAACACTTCACATGATCTTGATTCTATCCCTCTGGTAATGCAGCCTAGAACTGTGTTGGCTTTTTTGGCAGCTTCAGCACATTTCTGGCTCATATTTAACTGCTACATGCATTAATAACCCTATTAGTGTTAGATTGCTGGGGACAGAAATGTTCTATATCAATTAACTCACTGTTCCCGTTGTTTAGTTCAAATATTGCTCCAGAAAGTCTGTGAATTTAATGCCAAGTACCTCAGTCCCTTTCTTTGATGGATGCAGACCCTCTCTTTTGAACAGTTTTTCATTAGAGCAGCTGCAGACATCATGACTAATATAACAAGCCTTCCCCTTTACACCACTCTTTTAGCCACATATTGAACTCCACTATACACTTGTCTTTTCTTTTTGTTCCTTATATGCTGGTGTGAGGTACACAAGAAATGTACATGTTATAATTTTTCATTTTTGCTAAAGGAATAGGCATATAGAGGCACTTAGCTAAGGTACTTTTAGGAAAGGAGATGTTGGAGGAATAGAGAGGAACTATATACACTGACTCAAAGCATACTTATAGAATAGTGCACACTATTGTAGAAAAGCATATAGCTTATGAATAACATATTATTCAATTTATATAAGTTTATTCTTTATAAAAACTGCCTAGAGTTAGTATTTTAAAGTATAACTATGAACCAAAGTGTAGCCATTTTTAACTGAAGCATGAACTCTGTTACACACATAGCTTCTAGATGAAAAGCAGGCATTCTTATAGATAAACAAGGGAAAACATAAATCCTTTATAATTGCAACTATCCAGTTTGGATAGCAGTTTACTTTGTAGATAAGCTACACCCTTAGTTAGTAGGATGTTACAAATCATGCCACAGAAAAGGGAGGGGAGATAAGAGAGGAACAAAAGGAGCTTTTGATCTAATAATTGGAGAGTCTGGATGCTAGGCGGTCAGAAATCATGTGACTGAACCTGGCTATCCACTGGTCTGGTTAGGAAGGATGTGGCCTAATTCTATGGGACAGGGTATAAAAACTATGCAAAAATGGATTCAAGTGCGGACTCTGGGATTTGTAATTACCAAGAGATCCATCAGCTTTTGCAAAAGCTTTAATAAAACTTGTTTTGTTTTCCAATATCCTTGGAGTTGAATATTTATTCCTCACACTGATAAAACCTCTGAAAAGGTAAGCCTACAGCCTATCCTACTAAGTTCCTGCCCCAAACTCTGGAAATCATTCTGCACATTCTATATTTGCAATTGTATAAACATAAAAATAATAATCAATAGGATACACGAGGACCATATTGAAGCTAACATCTCAAATCTGTCATACCAATGACAAGTTATTACAAGTAAATTGTAAGTTGTTTTTCTAAAACCTAAATAAGCATGCTGTACTAATAGTGCTGTACTAATAGTTTTAATAGTTTTTTAATAGTTTTTTATTACTGTATAATTAATCATGTGACTTGGTTCTACATCAGAAATATATCCCACTAAATTCAACTGAATGTATTTCACAGTAAATATGTACCAACATCAAAAGCCAAGGATGATTCAGAATCGCCATTAATATTTCCTTCAATACAGTTACAATAACAATTTTTGCAATGTGAAATGCAGGAATGATAGAGGGCAACCAGTTAATTTGAATTATCATATATCACTGTATCATAGGACTTAAAACAAACATTTCTACATACAGACTATTGTTTAATATTAATAAAGATTTAATAAATTCATGTCTTATGCCTTCATAATTTTCCTTACTTTATAACAGATTTTCTTGATTGTAAATACTTCAGGAAAATAGAGAGTCTGAATTTGTGCAAGTATTTTCCTAAAAATGATATAATAAGGGAGAAAGATACCCTTAGTCCTTCCTTTGGAATGTTTTGGTTTTGTTCATCTCTGTAGATGAACAGTGATTAGTAAAGGAGGTCTTCTTGTTTCCAAGTTAGTCCCACTCCTTTATATACATCAGTTTCTACACAGATTTTTTTGGGAAACCCTCCTCTATCTGGGCCTGGCTATATACAATAGGAAAAAAAACAAAACTGAAAGACCTTTGGCAAAATCAGTAGCTCAGCGAAGCAGAGGCAAATGATAGAGGGCAACTAGTTAATTCCAGGAGTCAGGACTGAAATAAAATCAACTACTGAAGTTACTAAAACAACGCACACACTTATACAGAGATTAAAAAGATAATATACAAAAGAACCCTATTGCAATTGTAAGTATAACTAAATAACTTTCAACTGTGCCTGAGGTCAGCACCTTCATACCTCCCACCCAAAACCTGACAGAACTCCTTTTCTTCCTTAACTAGAGATTCCTAGCAGTGATTCACTGTGGGCTCCTAAGGCTAGTTGGGTGTTTAAAGCAGGGGTCGTCAACCTTTCTGGGTTGGCTGCTCAGTGGGAAGGGGAGGGACAGGGACCTTTATGCACGCATGCGCACCCACGCAAATGTGGCTGCATGCACATGCGCGTGAACAGGTCCGTGAGCATGCATGCTCCACAAATGAGGCTGTTAGTGCCGGCATGCGGCTTGTGGCTCTCCTAGCGCCAGCGAGAGGCTTGCGGCTCTCCTAGTGCCAGCAAGAGATTCGTGGTTCTCCTAGTGCCAGCAAGAAGTCCATATACCCGGAGAAGTCATAGGGTAGGGAGTAATGGCCTAGTTCAGTGATGGCAAACCTTTTAGAGACCGAGTGCCCAAATTGCAACCCAAAACCCACTTATGTATAGTCGGATGCCAGGTGGGCATGGCCAATTGGGTGGGCATGGCCCATTGAGTGGGTGTGGCTGCAGTGGTAACAGTAGACTTGGTGGGACTAAAAAGTTCAATCAATCAATTCCAACTTTGCGAGATCTTTTTTTTCCCGTGAGAAGTTGAAATTGATTGATTGATTGAACTTTCTTTTTTTGTTGCACATGGCAGTGGAGGCCTAAAGTGAAAAGGTTTTATAAAACCCAGCCGAAGGCCTAGGACTGGGGCGACGACGTGTGTGCTCACAGAGAGGGCTCTGCGTGCCACCTGTGGCATGTGTGCCATAGGTTCGCCACCACAGGCCTAGTTAATGATTTCCCTAGCCTCTTTTCATGTTGAGTTTATAGCAGAGTAATACAGTTAATACAGTTTAAAACTTCAAGCCACCTAAAAACAAGAACCACAAAAACTTACCAACGTATCTGTCAGATCCTTTTGAAATACAAACATACGAGCAGATAACTCAAGAGATTTGGAGATTGCTACATCATTTGGTTGCAATTCATGTTTTTCTTTAAGAGTAGGGAAAAGAATCATAGTAAGAAATTAAAACATATTTTTAAACTAAAATCTACTATCTTCATAGAGCTGCACAGGACTGAAATTTTATTCTCAACTTTTTATTTAACAATTCCCTAGGCTGGTAAAGTCAAATGCTGAATTAAGAACACAATGTAATAATCTAGTTTTTGTACTACCCAAGACTGCTGGACTTGGAGTTGGAGAATACAAATACCTTGGATAGTTATAAAGAATGTTTCTTAGCAGAAAGAAAAGAATTTACAATGTTTGCAGGGTAATAAAAGTAGTTTATATAATAAATTGCACCAGCAGTATTTTGATTAACCGTATCACATTTACAGCTATAGCCTTTTTTGAACTCATAACATTGGGACCAAGATGATCAATAAATCAAGACTGGGCATCTCTAAGCAGTATAATTTATTTCAACAAGCAAACAACTTGACTTTTTTTTTAATGGAACATATCATTTATTTTTACACATTGATATCCAAACTCTAAATTAAGGATTTAATTTTTTTTTAAAAAGTCGAGGTAGTCCTCGACTTACAACAGTTTAATGGTCCGTTCAAAGTTGCAAGAGCACTGAAAAAGTGACATATGACCATTTTTCACACTTATGATCGTTGTCGCATCCCCATGGTCACATGCTTGGTAACTGACTCATATTTATTACAGTTGCAGTGTCTTGGGTCATGCGATCACCTTTTGCAACCTTATGACAAGCCAAGTCAATGGGGAAGCCAAATTCACTTAATAACCATGTTACTAACTTAAGAACTGCAGTGATTCAACTGTGACAAGAAAGGTTGTAAAATGAGGCAAAAACAAATTTCTTACTTAGAAACAGAAATTTTTGGTTCAGCTGTGGTCGTAAGTCAAGGACTATCTTTATTTTAGAAAACATTCATTTTCTGAAAGTTAATATTTCCCCACAATTTGCCTTCATATCTAAATACCATTTGATTGCTTCAAGGTAGGAATCCATTTTGCTGAGTGAATTTTTGTTACACAGGTAGTTTTAAATTATGAACTGCCTGTCTATCTCTAATTGCAAACCTTACAACATGTTTCTGAAGAAGTAAAATCCTTTTCAATGTAGAAATGAAGTGGAATGTATTATACAGCAGAACTAAAGTATTAGTAGTTGTCATGGAAACTACTTTCTGCTTAACAGCTCTTTATTGTAACTTTGGTCATCAAGCTGTGGACCCACAGGAGGAGACCTACATCTGCACTAGAAAATAATTTTCAGATAAGAAACCAAAAATAGTATTAAAATATTAATAGCTGAGTATCTTTTACCGTCAGAGAATGAAAGAGCCACTAGAGCCAGATCTTCCTGAGAATGTTGGAGCTTCTCTGCTACAATTTTCAACATCTCTTGAACTGAAGTGGATAATTTAGTTTTTACACTGATGTAAGAATGTTCTGTTATATACACACGACAAAAAACTGTGAAGAGAGAGGAAAAATCATTTTCATCAACAAAAGAAATTATTATTGAAAAGTGAAAAAACTTTAATGATTGCACTGTTTTAGATGGCTTTGTCATTATCAAAGTCATTCTTTGATAAAAGAAATTACAGTTACTATAGGATTTGGATTTGGAAAAATAAATCTGCTTAAAGATCAGAGTAGCTGTAATTTCTATAAAATAAATGATGACCTGGTGTAATATGTCATCATATTGTTGTTGGTTGCAACAAGAACAAACCTTCTTTGCTGAAGTCAATCAAGCAGACTTGATTGACACAGTCACAAATCAATGGCTATGTCAGCTCAAGCAGGGCACAGACACTGATGCAACTTTACAGGTATTAAAAGTTATTGTTCTGAGTGGGTGGCCAGATGAAAAGGAGGCAGTTCCTGCAATTGTGAGGGAATATTGGTCCTTCAGAGAGGAGATCAGCGTACAAGATGGTATCTTGTACAAGGGCCCAAGAGTCATAGTGCCAAAGTCACTGAGAGCAGAGATGTTATTGCGCAACACTCAAGCCACATTGGGGGTGAGGCCTGCTACGACAAGCTTGTGATACTCTTTACTGGCCTAACATGCAAGGCAAAATCAAAGACTTTGTTAGCAATTGTCCCACTTCTGACATCATGTTTCATGTGGAGTCAGTAAATACAATACAAGGAATCACTGTGCAAAAGCCATCTTTCTTAGAGAGAAGAAATACAGCAACAACAAGAACAGGAAATGCATCACAGGAACAACAGAGATGAATCACAGATTAGCAATGTGACTCAGGAAACACATACAATAGAGGTGAATGATAGAGCTGCAAAAAAGGTAAACATAACACCTATAACACTAATAATAGTAAAGGCAATTAACCTAAATTTCAGGGTATGGTACAAATTTCTTAAATTCTCACATTATTCAATTAAGTGAAGCAAGTCCAATACTGTACATTTGTTGATAGACGTAACAGAACGTTTGAAATTTTAAAATATTGTTTCTTTCGTGACTGAAAGATACATCTGGAAGATTTTAGAGTGGAAGTTTAAGTTTGATCACAGATCATGCATAACACTTATAATTTTGAGATAATTGTAATTTGACAATTTAGACAAATACATGTTTAAAAGTACTTGGACAAAAACAGTATTAACTGTTATATTCTTAATTCTTTCTTTGAAGCCAATGAAGTATTGCAAGAGTTTAGATTGTCTGAAACTGCAAAGTGGCAACACTTTGCATTAAAATACAAGCAAACTGGCAGAGGCCATATGGAAACAACTATAAGTCACTGGAAAACTCTCCAAGGGCCTGTTGGAAGCCAAGTGAATCCATAAGTTGCCTGGGACAGACCAATCTAATAGGATTATCTTCCCGGACAAACTATGATACAGCACAGTTGTTAATGTCCTCCACTTACAAACCATTGTTCCAAGATTAAAACTATATCAAGCATGTGGCTCTCAATGTTAAGTTGTGTGCCTTGGGAAAACCCCATAGTTGTCATAGCAGAAATAAACAAATTCTTGAAGAATTCCCATGCTCCTTCTCCCATTATGTAGTCAAGATTGGTGCACCATCCAAAATCCAATTGGGGAGATTTGAGGTAAAGTCATTCTTTCATCATTATCCAACACAAACCAGTTTCCAATTATACTGATCATGTCTGCTTTCTCTCCTTCCCCCACCAGGTTGTGGAGAAACAAGGTCACAACCCTGGCATTTAACAGAATCCATTTGACTCTACAAGGACATTGTGCTGGAAGGATGAGGGAAAAGTTGGAATAGGAATCAGGTCCTTACCATCCAAACAGCAGATGTTCTTAATACGATATTTATTTCTTTTTGTGTTTTATTCATACTTACCTTCTTCTGTTTCATTCACAGGTTCTCTGGTCTGAAGCCAGTTCTGCTTGAGGCTGTATTGATGTAAAATGGCTTTATGCTATAGAATTAAAAAAAAATGCCAAAAGTATTGGATGTTTTAAAAAAAGGAATCAAAGTCAAAAAGTCTATGAACAGTTTGTCAAAATAAACTATTCATGGAAATTCACATTCTATTCATGGAAAACAGGAGATGTTAAGATGAATACACACACACACACACACACACACAAATAAATTTTAAGAGAACATTACTGAAACTTTATTTTCTGCTTCTGATACTTTTATTTTATTATTTATTCATTCATTCAATTTCTGTTGCTGTCCATCTCAATCCAATTTACTGCAGGCAGGTAATGTCACAATAATTAAAAGCATAAAACAAAAAATGGTTACAAATTGCATGTATAGGCAACATAGAAGGGCATAGAAGGGGGAGTTCCCCTTGTTGATCTGTGCCCACCAGGTTTCCAAGCATTCCATCGGCCGAGGGCCCGGGGTAGGGGCGGGGGGGTGGCGGTCATTATAAGGGAGAATATGTATCCAAGGGAGACCACTGTGCCTCAGATAGACGGTGCTGAGTCCCTCCTTGTGAAGTGGGGGCAAGGGGTGCAAGTGGGCTTGTTGATAATATACCTGGCTCCCTGCTGTGTGTCAA